CTCCATACAGGCCCAGCTCTACTTGAGCTGGAAATTACACCTCTTGCTGGACTGCAAGAGGTACCCTTACACTGGTGTGAACACAGACTAACTCCAACAAATTCACTTGAGTGGACACGCCAATGTACTTAACTGTTGTAGAGTTACTCCCCATTCACACTGATTATTCTGAGATCAGAATCTAGCCCCAACTGTCAACATACAAAAGGCCCCCTAGGCCCAGACCTTTATTGGGGCTGAGATGATGCAGAACAAGTTTTATGCTGTATAAAGGGCATATTTTCTCTGCTTTATTTCTTATGTGCAGTTTGCAAACTCTTCTCCCTGTTACGTGGCTAGCATGCTCTGACAACCAGCATATGAAGCCTTGGCTCTACTTGTACTCCACTTCTTCCCATCCTTTGGAACACTGCATAGCCAGGGAAATAGAATCATAGAAATAAAGGGCTGAAAGGGACATCAACAGGTCATCTCCATTAATGTTCCCTCTAATCTTTGCCATCCATGTGCAGAATAATTTTATGTGCACAAAGACATGTGCAAATGTACACCACCAGTAGGAAAAAACTTAACTGTAGGGGCTCTGTTCATCAGCTGGGCAATATTTGAATCTCTCCCGAGTGGCTGCATAAACACACAGCTTACAGGTATCACTGATCTCCACCTCCTCCCCCTTGCTGAGGGACTTAAATAACATGAACATCCCTGATGGCATGATCCTCCATCCAGCTCCACAAAAGATGCCCAAGCAGTTAATATAGCTCCAGTCCCTTATAATACCCAAATTTTGAAATCTTTATGTGGGGCCAAATTTTACTGTTGTTTACACTCTATTGACCTACATGGGGCATACAGTACTGTATTAAATGTCTGCAGATCTGCCTGTGGTCTTTAGCAGCCACTATACCAAAGAGACAGTCCAGTGGAGCCAAGAAATGAGGTGGGCAGGCTGTCAGGGACGGTAGTCCTAGCCTCCCACGTGTCACTCTACAAGTGGGGAAAATTTGGGAAAATCCATGTAAAAAGCTTCACAGGGCCTGATAGAGTGGGGGGGGGGGGGGGGGAGGGAGAGAGGGGAGAACACAGGTCCTAACAGGGTGCTGTGGGAAAAATCACCACTTTTTGCAAATAGTTCCCTCCCATAATTTCCATTACAGAAGGGGACAATTTGGTCAACATGTTTTAATCCCATTACAAGTCAGTGTGACAGGAACTATTATTATTAAGGAGCGACAGCATAAGGCCAAATTTATTTTACAAAATTTTGCCCTGCAAAGTTAAAAAAAAAAAAACACAAAACAAGGAAAGAGTACCATACTTTTTTCCTTGCAATGTACGACAAAGGCCTGAAAGTTTGCCCCCCCCAAATATTTTTCATAGTAGAGGATCAGATCTTGTTATCCTGTTTTTCTTTACAAATAAACAAACCAATCCTTCTATGGATACCTGGCAGTCTCCTACAATTATAATATCACATGTATCAAGGAACTGAAACTTGAACAAATATTGTGGGAACGTAATTTAGACATTCCTTAAAGCACTTATTTTTGTTTTTGTTTTGTTTATCCTCACTGACTCAGATAAAAAACAAAGAAATCTTTTCTTTCAACATTTTATTACAGAGTCAACACACCAACCCCTTCAACTAAGAGCCAAGAAAGCTCTCATTTTCATTTTTCCAAAGGTACCCCCAGGAAACGAGGAGAGGAGAGAAGAAAAGGGAATTCCAAATATTTCTGACAGCAAATGAAGAGAAGAGAGGAAAGGAGAGGTTTCCTAAGGTAGAGGACACACACACACACACACACACACACACACACACGTTTTTAAAACTTTCAATGCCTTCTTTATAAATAATAACTTTTAAAAGGATATTGTAAAATGACTCAGATATCTTCCAATTAATTTACTCAGGTGGACTGTTATGCTTGCAACCAGGTCAGTAGGAGGGGAAAAAAGGAGATTTACACTCAAAGCTAACTGTTGCTTTATTTGCTCAACTAATGACAGGTATTGCTTAATACATTAGCTTGATTTTAAAAAGTTTGCTTATAGACTATGGTTCTGCCTAGACTTGAGCTAACTCAATTGAGAAAAGCATATTTTTCCTAGTCTACAGAAGGCCAATGGTCTCTGCATCAGAGCAAGGGGATTCCCATGTGGATCCTCCTGCACAGTCAGGGATACTGGTAAAATTAGTGAAAAATTCAAACCACTTAAAATTTGTAAGTTTCCCACTGTATCTCTTTCAACAGTGTGTAAATCTTTTCCCAACAAACATGAATTTTAAGTTGACTCTGTCCTTACAGTTATCTTAAGAAACTATAAATGGAGAGGGTCAAAAAAGTTTCAGCTACTCAGTTTTCCATTTGAAAATGAGATTTCAGTGGGATCGAAATGCATCATGGCACCGTGTCAATTCCTTCAAAACTTTCAAGAAAAGGCAGGCATGGAGATAGGCTGGCTGCTGATCTAGTATCTCACCTGATAAACCATCCACTAACCAAGCCCATGGGAAGCCTGCAAGCCTAGAAAACAAGATGGCTTTCCTGCCCATCAGTTGGGCAGCTAGTCAGTCCAAAAAGCAAAAAGCCAGCAAGCCTGGGTAGGTGATTTGTGGTGCGCTTGGGGGTGCACCCCTGTGCCCTGCCAAAACTCTTCATTGCTAAATGGGGTATCCCTTCCTTGTTCCTTTAGGTGGCCCTCCCCGGCTATGTCTACACTGTCAGGTTCTAGCGCAAGAACATCATTTTTAAAAATCTGTTTTCAGTGGGTTTCTGGTTTGTTTATAGTCAGAGCTGGTTGAAAAGATAATTCTTGCGCAAGAACACATCCACACGGCCATGTGCTTTTGTGCAAGAGCGTTCATGGCAGTGTGGATGCTGTCTTGCGCAAGAAAACCCTGCCGTGCGTCCACACCGACCTCTTGTGCAAGAGCTCCTGCGCAAGAGGGCCTTACACTTGTTAGAAAAGAGCTTAGCTCTTGCGCAAGAAGCCCTCTTTTATCACGCTTTACTGTAAACATTCTTGCGCAAGAGCGGGTGGGCAGTGTGGACACTGCAGAAGAACGGCTGTTCTTGCGCAAGAACCCGCTAGTGTAGACATAGACCCCCTTTGCAGCTCTCATGCCAGCTGGGACACCTATTTTTGGAAAGTTTGATTTTTCATCCCAATTCAGGATTATTCCTCTGCCACAGAGGAAAAAAAGCCATGCAAAAATTTTCATGGGATGGAAATTATCTTTCTAACCAGCTCTGACTATAAACCAGTATTTCCCAAATGTGGTTCCGTGGAAACCTAAGGGTGTGCCTAGACTGGCAAGATTTTGCGCAAAAGCAGCCGCTGTTGCGCAAAATCTTGCCGCCTCTCTAGACTGGTTGCGACTATTTGCGCAAGAACACTGACTTTGTACTGTACAAAATCAGTGG